GAATTCTTCCAGGGGTTAACTCAAATCGCCGGGCTGTGTTACTAGCACTTCCCGGTTTTTTTATGAACCCCCTATAGGTTTTTCATTTATGGCGAAACGGTAATTTTTTTGTCCTCAACCTTGAAATGTACACGGCCAGTGCCTTCCAGCAGACCCAGCAGTTTGGAGACAGGCGTATCGCGGCTGATAACCGCATTGAAATGACTGGTGACAGGACTTTCATACACCACGCTGCAATTGTACCAGCGTCCCAGCTGCCGCATCATTTCTTCGATACCCGATTCCTTAAAAACAAACAAGCCGTTTTTCCAGGCCAACTCCTTCTCCAGGTCGGCTTTAACCACCCTGATGACAGCATCCCGATCCACCTGTGCCTGCTCGCCCGGCTGCAATACCTGCCGGTTATTGACACGCACTGATCCCTCTTCCAGTGTCACCCTGCTGATGGGTTCATCCCCATACCCATTGATATTAAAATGAGTGCCCAGGACAGCAACGGAAACATTCCCTACCGTCACTTCAAATGGCAAGAGCGGATTTTTGGCCACTTCAAAATAAGCTTCCCCCGTGAGCGATACGACCCGCTTACTGCCGTTAAAGACTGTAGGATAGACCAGGGAAGAACCCGCATTCAGCCACACCCGGCTACCATCCGGCAAAACCAGTTTATATTGCCCCCCAGCAGGAACAGCCAGGGTATTGTATTCAACTTTACCAGCCAGATTGGCCGCTTTGCCCGACTGGTAACTTATCAGGCCACTGTCCATTTTACTGATGACCGCATTCCCCTCTTCGGCCAATTGGCCGTTGGCGGCACTGTCTAGGGCGATCTCCGTCCCATCCGCCAGTATCAGCCGGGCCAGGTCGCGCCCAGGCGCAAGATCTTTTACAGCAGCAACGCCCGGTTTATCCACCCCCTTTTTACCAGGCAAAAACCATTCAGCCAGCAGCAATACCCCGGCAATGATCACCGCAGCAGCGATATAAGGCCATAAAGAACGCAACCGTGAATTCTTGGGCGCATCGGTAAATTCCAGGCGCTTTTCCAACCGTTGCAGGGTAGCCGCAGCCGGTAATTTCTCCTGCCATTGCGCCCATGCCTGCAGGTTGGCAGGGTCAATCATTTCCTCAAAAAGGAGCTGGTTTTCCAGATTCTCCCCTACCCAATCATCCAGTTCCTCCTGCTCCCCTTCCGTCAGGTTATCCTGCAGAAAACCCGCAATCAGGTAAGCCACCCGGAAAGCCAGCTGGTCCATTTTACCCGTGTCTATACCATCCCCCTGTTTCATACCAGAAAGTTAATTAAATATTTTCGCACGCTGTGTTAAGACAATCAACCCATTGGTTGGTCTACAAACAGATTGAAATATTTTTGACCTGATCTATAGAAATATTTGTCACAACCTAAATACAAAAACAATATGCCATTCCCAGAATCGACTATTTACAAGTACTTCTAATTTCGACTTATTAATATATTTACAGCTAACTTCCCAGATAAACTATATCTGCCTATCAAAAACAAGAAACAGGACACATGAAACTGGAACTGACGAAGTCGATTAAAGTCCTCAATAAAGCTTACCTGACACTAAAAGAAGAAAAGGGTAATCAAATTATATGAATTGTAAATTATGAAACAACGTTCCATTTGCATCTTTTATTTATTAGCCGTGATAAAATTATCCGGGCAGGATATTATTTTTAGAAATACCACCAATAAAGTACAGTATCAGCTTGGTGATTCTGGAAAGAACGTTAAGGGTCAAATCATTAAAATGGACATCGGTCCGGATTCCCTTACGAATGCGAATACAATATTTTTTCTGCATACCTTGAAAATGCAGCACGATACGCTTACATCTGTTAAGATAAAAGGCGCTTTTATGCAAAACTTGATATTTGACCATTGCATTTTCGGTGAGAAAAGCATTGATATTTACTCGACACAATTTGACACATTGATATTCAGGAATTGTAAGTTTAAAAATGGCTTCGTTTTCAACAACACCGGTATTAAGTACTTGGAATTACAAGGCAATGAATATCCTGACGAAATTAGCTTTATAGCCTGCCAGATAGGAAAAATTAAAGCGGATAAAGAAAACGTAAACAAAATTAGTTTTATAGATGGACAGCTCGGCGCCGTCAATTTCGACTCGACTTCATTTGTGCGGGCAACATTTAATGGGTCTGTAATTGACACTTTACTTAGCATGAGGTATTGTAATTTGTTCAATCGCTTATCGCTAAAAGGCATCAAACTTCAACAGCTCACGAAATTATATTTTGGTTTTATACGGTTGCCAGACACACTTGATTTGTCATACACTAACTACTTTCCCCCCAACACTGAAGTCTTCTTTCTTGGCTATTATTATGGAAAAGGGAATGATAATAAATGTAAGCTGATACTACAAAATACCGATATTCAAAATATAAATATTGATTATACAAAATTCGAATTGATATTTCCAAACCTAAGAAGCGATGATTCTAAGCAAAGTGTTTACGAAGCACTGCTGCAAAATTTTAAATTACATGGATACCTAGAAAGTTACGAAACGCTTGATGTGGAGTATAAAATTTTTCAAGGTCATAACGGTAGTTTAGGATGGTTTTGGTGGTTACCGTATTTATGGTATAAATATGGGTATGACAAGGCCCGTATATTTTACATTGCATTATTTGCAGTGATTATTTTCACCCTTTATAATTTTTTCCGGCTCAATCATCTCGTCAGTAAAGTATACACCGTTGAAAAAATTCCAGCCTTTTATTCGAAACATGATAGTAAACGGCTATGGTACGCTTTTGTTTATACCTGCATTATATTCTTTAGTTTATCATTAAAGCTTGACAAAATTTATTTTAATCAAAGACGCGGTACGCTGTACGTAATGTTTATGTATGTATCTGGAATTATTTGCCTTGCCTATATGGCGAATTTTGTTTTGCAGCGTTGAATTAAAATGGAAAATTATGGGCGGAGAGAATAAAATGCTGATTATAGGGATAAATAATGTGGATGGTGTCGTCTTTAAAAAATTGACGAACGCCAGAAGTGATGCAATGCGTGTGCAAGGAATTCTTAGCTCGCAGTATAGTTTTGTGGACGCAGATGGCAGCGCTCTGCTGGATGAAAATGCAACCAGGGAAAACATTATGCGTGCCCTGCACGAATTGGTGAACCAGGGTTTTAAAGATGATAATGTTGTAATTTATTACGCGGGACACGGTTATCAGAATCCAAAATCCATGGCAGGATACCTAATACCATTTGACGCTTATAAAATTCCGGGCAATAGAATTCCATTTAAAGAGGTACTGGATATTGTTAAAGAAATAGAAGCGAAGCACGTTTTGCTCATTGCTGATTGTTGCTATTCGGGATGCTTTATTACCCGTAACAGAACAGCTTCCGGCTTGCGGGCACATACTGTACTGGAGAAACTTGACTCCCGTTGGGTCTTGGTATCAGGTGGAGAAGAGCCAGTAAGTGATGGCCAGGAAGGTAAAGGGAGCCCTTTTGCAAACCTGCTGTGTGATATTCTTGGACAAAATAAGGAAACGACTTTAGCTGCCAGCCAGATCTTTGAATGGGTTATCGTTAATATGGCCACTGGTTACCCCATTCCAAAAGCAGCTGAGATCAATTGCTCAGGTCACAAAGATGGAGAAATGATTTTCCATTTGAATGAAACCAATATTGAGAAATATGAAACGCCAGTTGCTAAACCTTCATTTATCCGACCGGGCATAAAGTTGCCTGGGTATTATCTCTCAAGAACAGTCACTTTTTACGACGATCAACATGAACAGAAAACTTTTTTTTCTCAAAAAGTTCAAGGTGATAAAGTACTTGTTGATTTACTAACGACAGAGAAAAGAATTGTTATTTTGGGAGGTGCAGGAAGCGGAAAGTCAATTGAACTAAGAAATCTGGAAAAATTATTGGATGAAACAACCGCAATGGTCCCGGTCTACCAGCGGTTTAATACCTATTCGAAACAGGATATTGAGGATTTTCTTCCTGAAGGGTATAAGCAGGTTCTGCCATCCTCCCTGGTTGTTCTGCTTGATGGATTTGACGAAATACAACCAGAAAATGTTGTTGATGCCATTAGGAAAATCAACCGTTTTGCTGAAGTAAATCCTGGTATAAGAATAATAATATCTTGCCGCACCAATTTTTACGAGCTTCCTGCTAAACAACAAAGCGGGTTGCTTGACAATTTTAAAGTTTATTTTCTGAATAACATTTCATTGGCTGAAATAAAGAAATTTGCTGAGCAGCACGCAGGCCTGGATGGAGATAAATTTATTCATGACTTATATGACGCTAATTATCTTGACTTGGCTGAAAAGCCATTTTTTCTTGATATACTCATCCGGCACTATATCACCCACCAAAATTTTCATACGAATAGAAGTCAAATTATTGAAGAAGGATCATTTAATTATAACGAGGACAATAAAGCGCATTTTCGTAGTACAATTTCCGGTTTAACAAAGGCCGTGATATTTGGTATCCTGGAAAAAGCCGCGTTTATTATGGAAACCAGGGGCCTTAATTTTATTGCTGATGCGGATTTACAAAAATTATTTTCGCCATCAGATTATGAGTTATGCAAATATCTTCCGTCTTTTAACTTTGATGAAGCCCGCCAGCAATGGATGTTTGATCACAACAATCTGCAGGAATACGTTGCTGCAAGGGTACTCGGGACCTTGTCTTTTGATAAATTACTTGAAACAGTTACTATAACATCGGGGGGTACACGAAAAATAAAGATTACCTGGACTAATACGATTTCATTTTTCATAAGTAACGGTGGTGGAGAAGCTGTGAGACTATCTGAATGGATAATGGAAAACGATCCTGAAATAATGGTGCGCTTTGATCCCGATCGTATAAGTGATGAAAAAAGGACCAATGTCTTTAAGAGAATTTTCGATCGGTATAGCAATGAAAATATTTGGTTGCGATCCAATAAATTTTCATTTAAGGAACTGGCCAGGTTTTCAGATTTCGATGCCACACTAGACTATTTGCTGGAAAAAATGACGGCAGACAACAATGAAATCGTCATTATGAATGCGGTAATGGTCGTGTCTGAATTCAATATAAATAAGCATTTGAATTATAAAGAAAACGTAAAGCATGCCTTACTTACATTACTTACCCATATTAACGAACCCCAAAATATTTATTCTATTTTAGGTGCGATGTCCAGGCTTGAGTTAAGAGATGAGGAGTCTATTAATATTGTCGTTGAAAAATTCCGGAAGTCTAAAAACCAATACATCAGAGCCGGTTTATATAAATTGCTGGGCACGACGCCACTTGTTGAAGAACACCTCGATATATTTATTGAAGGTCTTGACCTTACAAAAATAGAAGGTTCTTTCGGAGAACGGGATAGTGTTAATTTACTCGACGAAAACATTCATTTATTACAGGGTTTTGAGAAAGTTGAATCTGCAAAGAAATTAAAAGAAATAATTACTGTGTTTTGTGATGAACAAAAAAATTATTTATACCATAGTGACGAAAAAGACCTGGTCAACAAAATTGTTGAGAATAGTGTAAAGGCATGGAATAATGATGCATCAATTTTTGATTTTATGCTTGATTTCTTTCACCGGCTAGTAATAATGCACCATAAACGTATGGATGTGTTGGTTGTACCTTTTTTTGATAAAACATCGGGGCGTTGGCCTGCTTTCGAAGCTGTATGGCGAAATAAAAAGTGGAATGAATATGATAAAGGTGAATGCCTGCCAATTTTGTTGGACGACAATGTAATTTTTCAATTCATTGAAGAATACAAAAACAATGAATTCGACGATAACGACATTGCGAATTTACACCAAATGGTTTTGTGGCAAGGGAATGCACCTAATCAGAAAGATTGGCTGACCAATCTTGAAACAGCATCGCAAACAAAATCAGCAATTATCCTTGTGAGGCCGCACCATGCCGATTATGAAGCGCAAAACAAAGTAAGAGTACAAGAAGGTTTTGATTTGCTTTTTGATAAACCCGCCTTCATCCAACGGGTCAAATCAATATTTAAGATAATTGACAAGGAAATAATTGGACAATCAGATTTACTCAATTTCAGACGGCATAAGCTTTCCGGAGAAGATGGATTAGCAACGTCTCCTGCATTCCGAATACTCTATGATTTTGTTTACAATGGTATTACCACTAGCATTGAACCAGTGCTCGACTGGATAAATGAGGATATTCAGTGGCAGCATTACGTAATGGATCAGGTATTCCAGCAATTGTCAGGATCGCATGACAGGCTTATTGAAGTAAAAGAAAGCCATAAAAAGTATATTAGTGAATGGTGTAAAAAAACAACAGGTCACCAAAGATTACGCTGGTATTTTATTCAACGGTTTGACATACAATTGCCCGAAGCCCAGGTGCTAGAATTTACTGAGTATTGCGATTTTAGCCAAGAGGATAATATCCGTAAACCTGGTACTATTGAGGGGCTTGAAAAATTTATTTCTCCAAAAATATTGGCTGAACGCGTAATAGTTAATCTAAAAAGTGGCTTGCCCGATACGATGCGATTTATTGTCAATGCAGGCTTTGCATTGCGTAAAAACCTTCTTGGTACTTACGAAGATATTATTTCTTATATAGAGAAATCGCCAGATAACGAATATAAGTTAGAACATGCTCTTCAATTATGGCATGAAAAATCTGGGGACGCTGCACGCTTGCTGGAGTTTCTACACAAGGCTGTATCAAGTTATTTAAAATTTAATGCCGCGACCCTTTTGCGGGATTCAGAAAAACAACGAAAAGAATTGGTGGAATTTCTTGTAAAATGGATGGAGGACAGCAGTGAAAGTACTGACAACCGTTTAGAAGCCGCCAGCCTTTTAATTAGTATGCAACATTTCGGGGCTTTTCAATTGGCAGTTGCTTATATTTTGAAAAGCAGGAATACTGGTCTTGAATATTCCTCATTGTTGGGAAATTTGTCCAGATATAAATATGTTGAAGCTATCCCGCTATTACTGGAATTGTTTGCATTGACTAAACAGCCTGATTTTAATACGGACACCTTCCGGCTCCTTGAATCAAAATCCATGGATGGTATTTTTTACATAGGTGTGCAAAGTGATAATAACTTAATTGAGACAAAGCGCTTAGTAGAAAAATTTATTAGTGATAATTCAGCGATGGAGGGTGTCAATTATTTAAAATTATTACTCATTAGAATGGAAGACCAATTAAACCTTGAACAATCGCAAAGCCCGAGTGTAGAGACTGCAATAGATAATTGGAATAATCTCAAGACTGGTTAGCGGTAGTTGTTATTTTCCCATGGCAGTGACATGCCATTACCAAAAAATATCCAGCCAGAAGTTCTATTGTTGTAATTTCCTCTACAATCCAATATGTGCAAAAGCAACAACTCAATCTGTAAGCGTCCCTTATTTCGGTACAGTTTCAGATTAGAATTTTCTAAGTTAAGGGCTTTTTGTTATTCTACTTTATCCACTAAACGGCTCATTCCAATTTTTGAGGGATTTCCATTCGCCGTTTGTGGATAAAGGTCACTTAGCTGCCGGGCTTTTAGCTCAGCATATTTCATTGGTGACAGATATTTTAATGCTTTATGTGGCCGTTCTTCGTTGTAATCAATGCGCCATTCTTCGGCCATAAGACGGACTTCAGCAAGGCTGGTAAAAAGATAGGTATTCAACAGCTCTCTGCGCATGCTTCCGTTTTTCCGTTCTATGTAAGCATTCTGCATCGGTCTGCCGGGCTGTATGAACTGTAATATTATTTCGTGGTCATTGCACCATTCTTTTAAAATATGACTGATAAACTCAGGGCCGTTGTC